CTGTGTGAAGTGCAAGGACAGAAAGGACTATCATCCAAAGAGCACCGAGAGGTTGGCACAAGAGGTTGGCAGAGGACAGCGACAAGAATAACCAGGCAAAAAAATTATAGCCAGAGCTCTACTCCTTCTGTTTAAAAAGCAAGTGATTTAACCAATCCCTGTGCCTCATTTAATAATTGCCATCAGCCTGCTGCTTCCAGCCTGGCCCCTGGAGTGAGACAACTGGCAGTCATTCCTCCCAATTCAAAGCTGTCCAAAGATGACCCTTGATGGGAAACAACTGGTAGGGGTGATAAATGAGCCCATGTGGCCCAGACCACAATATTGATATCCCCAATGAGTATTATTAAACCATTATCTTAACATTTAGGTATGAGAGAAAGCCATGCTCCTTGATTCGCTGCACCGTAAAATTGTTAGCAGGTCCCAGGAAATATTTTAAAGAACTGGGCTCCTGAGATATTTTAAGTAAAATTCCTTTCTTATTAAATACATTGAACATCTGAAGGGGCAGACTTTTATCTTACTAATTAGTGGAAGAGAATTCTGGCCTGGTCCCTTTAAGCACAAGTGATATTTAAACATGGGTTTATATTTATACACAGATTTATATTTCCTGTCCCCAGGTGACTTTTAAAGAAAGGAGGAGATAAAAGATTAGAAGAGCCAATGAAAGCACAGAACTTTGTGTAACCTTCTGGGTTGTATCTACTGCTCCTGGGGTTTTATCCCAGTGGCTCTTCCTGCTCAGTGGGGTTCTCCCTCCCAGTCAGCAGGACTACAGCCTCTGGGCAGAGCCTGCAGCTGATCTTTCTCAGAGGAGAGCAGAGCAACTGCTCTCTCACTTTTCTCCTGTGTGCCTTGTGAAACTTGAAATACTCTATGCATAAAATTACAAGTTGGTTTAAGGTGAGGATTCTGTACTTTCCTTATTAATCTCCCAAGTCACTGTGAGGATTGGGTGTGGATGTTCTTTAACATAATCTGTCCTGGGTTCTAACTAGAAGTGTTAAATGAGGACCAAAGGATTCACTCTGGGGATAGAGGACTGACAACTCCTGGGAAGGCCAAATTAGAGAACTCAGCCGGAAGCTGTGTCCACAAAGGTTGTTCCTCAACATCTTGAACACATGAAATGAGTGACAGCAATGATACAAGGGACAAGAAGGAGGAATTAGGATTATTTTCTTATAAGGTATTCATACTACCTGTGAAGTAGTATAGTGTTATTTAAAAGTGGACTTGGATTAGTTGTAAATGTATATTGCAAACTCTAGGCAATCATTAAAAAAAAAAAGTTAAAAAAACTGACTTATTATGAAAGGAGAAAAAAATAGAATCATATAAAATGCTCAATTAAAACCACAAAAGACAGAAAAAAAAAAAAAGAAAGACAAAAGTAGGAAAAAACGAGGGCAACAACTAGCAGTAACAAATATGGTAGGTAGATATTAATCCAGGTATATCAATAATCACTTTGAATGTCAATGGTCTAAATACACCAGTTAAAAGAAATTATCAGAATGGATCAAAAAATAATACTCAACTGTATGTCTATAGGAAACTCACTTTAAATATAAAGACACATAGATTAAAAATAAATGGATGGGGAAAGATACACCATACTAACACTAACCAAAAGAAAGCAGGAGTAGCTATATTAATTTTAGGTAGGGCAGACTTCAAAGCAAGTTAAGTTACCAAGGATAAAGAGAGGTGGTACATAAAAATAAAAGGATAAATTCTCCAAGAAGACATAACAATCCTTAACATGTACGCAATAACAACAGAGCATCAAAATACATGAGGCAAAAACTGATAGAACTGTAACAATGGATGAATTGACTATTACATTTGGAGAGTTAATTAAGAGAAATCCCTAATTCACTGCACTGTAACAACTGTTAGCAGGTCCGACGAAATATTTTAAAGACTTCGACACCCCTCTATCAGAAATGAACAGGTCCAGCAAGCAAAAAATCAGAACAACGTTAAACTCAACACCATCAATCAACTGGATATTATCGACACCTATAGACTACATCCAACAACAGCAGAATAGACATTCTTCTTAAGCTCACATGGAACATCTACCAGGATAAATCACATTCTGGGCCATCGCAAATTTAAAAGAATAGAAATCATGTAATGTCTGCTCTCAGACCACAGTGGAATTAAACTAGAAATCGACAACAGAGATACCTGAAAAATCCTAAAATACGTGAGTGTTAAATGACACACTTCCAAATAACAAATGAGTCATATAAGAAATCTCAAAAGAAATTTAAAATATTTTGATGAATGAAAACAGACAACTTATTGAAATTTGTGGGATGTTTGGAGGAAATTTTTTTCACTGAATGCATATATTAAAAAAAGACCTAAAATTAGTCTATCAAACTTCTATTTTGGAAATGAAAAAAAAAGAACACATTAAGCAGGAGAAAAGAAAAAGTAGAGCAGAAATCAATGAAATCGAAAACAGGAAATTGAGAAAAATCAATAAAACCCAAAGCTGGTTCTTTGAAAAAGATCAGTAAAATCAATAAGTCTCTACCCAGGCTAAGAAAAGAGAGAGGACACAAGTTACTAATACCAGAAATGAAAGAGGATATATCACTGCAGAGCCCATGGACATTAAAGCTAATAGAGGCACACTCAACAATTCTGTGCCCACAAATTTGATAACCTAGATAAAATGGACCAATTTCTTAAAAGACATGACTTGCCAAAACTCACACAGGAAGAAACAGACAATCTGAATAGGCCTACAGATCTATTAAAGAAATTGAATCAATAATTAAAAACCTTCCAAAACAGAAAACATCAGGCCAAGATGGATTCACGGGTAAATTCTAGCAAACATTTAAGAAGAAAATTATACCAATTCTCTACTATCTTTCAGAGGACAGAAGCAGAAGGAATACTTCCTAACTCATTCCTCCCTCCCTTCTTTTCTTTTTTCCCTTTCTCCTTTTCTTTTTAAAACAACTTTAAGGCAAATTTTATAGCGAATGTAACTCATTTCAGTTGTACAACTCAATTAGAGAACATTAACCTAAGCTGTAGAGTTGCTACAGGAGCTGGTCCAAGAACCTGAAATTGCTGTTCTAAGTATAGATTTCTATAGCTTAGAAGTAACACGGACAGAATTCAAATCCCGGTTAGTCTACTTCCTGTGTGCCTGTGGCTAGCACATTTCTCCAGTTTGGGTTCTTAGTATAGAATTAAAAATTAATGAAATTAACTAGTCAAGTTAAAATTAATTAAAAAGAAAGAGGATTAACAGAGAAACCTCATTCCAGCTGTTGGGGTGGAATGGGCTCTGCAGCCAGCCAACCTTTCCCTCTGACTACACCGTATCAGGATATGCCATTTGTTTTCCCGTCATCAGCCTTAGGTTATTTATTTCAAATATTAACCACAAAGGTGGTGTGTTAACCAGTCATAACATTTGAATAGTTTTCTGAGCAGGGATGGAGGTAGGGAAGAGGTGATGACCTTGAAGACTCCTTGACCTTGAAGTCAGCCTTGCAAGGAAGCTCAAAGAGCGTGTCTCCCAGGGACATGTCCAGTTTTGTCTTTCTACAAAGCCAGCAGTTGCAGAACCTTCAATTCCAGCCTTAGCTGGATTATTTTCCATTTTTCTAGGAATGCTTATGGAGGCTCTTTGCTGGTTGGTAGAGCATGTGGGATTTGGAATCAGGTCTGAGTTCTTCCCAGCTCTGATGTTGATTAACTACATGGCCTTAGGCTGTTACTGGGCTCATTTTAGAATAAAGATACTGAAAGTACCTGGCTCATGAGATTGCAGAAACAATGTGATGATAACAGCACTAATACTTATAGAGTGCTAACTCTGTGCAAGACACTGGTTTCAGCATTTTATGTGCATGACATTTACTCCTCCCAATGAAACTGTGAGGTTGTTATTTCCAGTACCTCCACTGTATAAATGAGTAAACGAAGTCCAGGGAGAGGCCACATCACCTGTCCGTGGTCATACAGTAAGAGGTAGAACTTGGATCTGAATCAACCTGGGCAGTCTGGCTTCAACACCCTTGTGTTTAATCATCCCACCAAACTACTTTCCTGTGCTATACTGTTTCTTCTAAAGGAACAATACATGCAAAACGCCTGGCCTTAGTAAAAGTGCCATCAATGGTAACATTAAAATAATAAGACTTCAATTACCTCGGCCCTCATTAGTATACAGAGTTCATATAAACAGTAGTAACAGAAATTTCACTCGATTACACCTCTGCCTGACAGGATGCAGGTCGCTAAGTTTCTTGAAGTTGTTCCTGGGGTATCTCACATGGGGTGTCTCTCCTGTCCTTCCGCACTTGCCCCTCCCTGAAGGACCTGCCCCCTTGAAGTCCCTTGAAGGTGGAGACTCACCCACTTCTGCTGTGGGTGTCCTCTGTGTCCCTCTGGTCAAGTTCCCTGGTCCTTAAGCAGAAATGGGGCACCTGGTCACAACAGTCAACACTGTCGACTCGGAGACCGGTAACTCTGCTGGGTATTCTATCACCTGTGCCCTGTCACATCCAACAGACATTTCTTAAGCAACTACTATGTCCAGACTGGTACCCCATAGCAGCTTAGGAACCCTTGATGCCTATCAAAGTCCCATACAAGATCAGCCTTTCTTACCACATTCATTAAAAATAGTGAGGGTTAAAAAAAAGAAAAAAGTCAGAGTTATAAAACAGAAAGTTTGGCTGTTGATGGTGGTGGTGGTGGTAGTACATATCTGAGGAAAATGCCCAGGCAATTCTTGACAGTATCTATTTTATTTAAATGAGAATTCTTACATTTGAATTCTTGCCCAGTAGAAATAACTTGCTTTCCATTTAGTCAAGGAAAGCATTTGAACCACTCCTGGGCACTAACAGCATCGTAATCAGCCTTTCCAACCATTACCAGAGAGGTTCTATTTGTGCCCTCTTAGGGATTCTGGTATGGCCTCATTTACTCTAAGGCAATTCATTCCTCAA